CCCTGCTCGGCTCTCAGGCGGCCGCCGGGCCTGTGTCATCCACCAGGAATTTCTGTTTTCCCCTCCGCGGGGCTGGAAGAAAAAACAATAATTAGGTCACTGGGCAGGCGGCAGAGAGGGTGTGGGACAGCCCGGTGGCGCCCTGTTGGGCAGGGAAGGGGTCTGGGAGGCTGATGGGGAAGGAGAGGCCCCCACAGTGCTCCCTGTCCCCCGCCCTCCCCGCGGTGCCAGCCGACGGGAACAATGGCACCCCTGACCCTGTCTGCCGTGCGCTCACGGGTCCATTGGTCCATTCATTCCAGCACTTATTGGGCCGCATTCTGCGCTAGGCGCTTGGGCCTGAGCATCCAACAAAGAGAAGGAAGGACTTGGTAGAAAAGCCCTACAGGCAGCCATGCAGTTAATATGCAGCAGGAAACCCACTTCATGGGGCGGAGGAGCTTCAGGGGACCCTGCTGCCCAGAGGGCTGGGGGCAGTAGTTAGGGAAGGCTTCCTCCAGGAATGGCACCTGTGCTGAGGCCTGAAAACCAGTGAGGATGGGCCAGGGAATGGGGATTGGCCAGGCACCTGGAGGGGAGGCAGGGAGTGCAAGGGGGATGGAAGGAGCAGCCTGGGCAAGGCTTGCCGGTAAGAGGACAGCACGTAGTACCTTCAAGAACTGAGTGCGGAGAGAAGCAGCACATGAACTTTTAATCTGACTATGACTCCACTGATTAAAGACATGTTTTTGATCCCAGGAGGCCCCTAAACACAAGCCAGCTACTTTATCTGGTGCTCCACTGGAGACGTAGCCTCCTGTTTCCACACTGGGCTCACTGAGAGGGTCCAGGTCTGGAGGCTGTACCTACGGGCAGCTTAAGGGACTTTCAAGGGCCACTGGACTTAGCACCTTTCTCACCTTTCACTCTGACCTTAGGACAGCTCCCTGGGAAAGACGGGAAGCTGACACCACTCTATCTGGCCGTGTTGCTCAAAGTATGAGCTATAAGACTAGGGAGGTGAGCAGGATTGGGACATACAGGATCTTATGACCTGGCCGGTGTGGCACAGTGGTTGAGCATCGACCTATGAACTGTTTGATTCAATCAGGGCACATGCCCAGGTTGTGGGTTCGGGCACAATCCCCAGTAGGGGGTGTGCAGGAGGCAGCCAGTCAATGATTCTCTCTCATTATTGATGTCTCTATCTCTCTCTCTCCCTTCCTCTCTCGGAAATCAACAAAAACGTATTTTTAAAAAATAAAATAAAAAAGGATCTTATGGGTCCTGGTAGGGAGTTCAGACTTTATTTTCAGGGAAGGAGGGAGTAATGGTTTAAAGCTCCCATTATGTGCCAGCACAGGGCTAAGTGTTTTACATACATCTCACTAAACTTGGCGACAGTCTAGTGAGAACGTTTCATAGCCCCATTTTATAGAAGAGGAAAGGGCCAGGGAGGTTATCTGCCCCAGGTCACCTGTCAATAAGGGGCAGAACCAGAACTGAACCCTGCGAGGCGCTGTTTGGGGAACTGTAGTGAGAAAGAGGGAGGCGCTGTCCCTACCTCAAGGAGCCTGTTGTGTGTCATGTATTGGTCAGAGTTTCCTTCGCTCTCCTCTGACGACCCAGGTAGATTGCTCAGGACGGGGACAGTGATCCCCCTCCACGAGGCTGTCCAGGCATCCAGGCCCCTTCCACCTGCCGCTCTGCCATCTTTATATGTCCACGTTGGCTCTCCTCCACATCCACCTTCTGGGCAGAGGAAAGGAAGGGGAGGGAGCATATTCATTCTCCTTAGGAAGCACCACTTCTACATCTTTGTCGATACCTGTATCTGCAGCTATACCTGTACCCGAATCCACATCCACAGATGAATCTATGCCTATATCAATAGATCCACCAACCACCCAGTAGTTCAAGCATCAGCTTTAAGGCTAGAAGCATCTGTGCCAAAAAAGTGAAATACAATGATCGATGGAACCAGATCCTGGTGGTGAGGTCTGGAAACAGAAAACATTACAGCAGAATCCATCATGTCACTTCCTACACAGAACACTCAATATACCTGGACAAAATAAAGCGCTTTCAGAATGGTTATGATAAAAAAGAAATTAATTTTTTTCAAAAGCGTGTCCTTATAAAATTGAGGTGTGTCATTTATATTTGTGGGTTTTATGGGTCAGCAAATATGGGAGCTGCTGGGCAAATAGTTGCAAAGATGAACAAGACAGGGCACTGCCCTTCATGGTTCTTTCAACCACACCCACTCCCTCAAAAGAGACCGTGCCTACACAGGCACTTGGGGACACTGCAAGCTGCCATCCGTCCGTGCTTTGGGGACCATCAGGAGAGCGATGTGGGAGACCGTCTAGAGCACTGATTCTCAAAGTGTGGTCCTCCCCCAGCCACATCAGCACCACCTGGAAATATCAGAAATGCCCATTCCCAGGCCCCATCCAGGCCTACAGAATCAGAAACTCTGAGGGCGCGGCCCAGCTACCTGGGTTTTCACAAGCCCTCTGGATGATTCTGACACAAGCTGCAGTTTAAGAAGTCCTGGCCTAGAGCCCTGCACACTGGGCTGAGCGTCGGAAAACCCTGGTCCTAACCCTGACTTGTCAATCCCAGGCTCTGGGACCTTGGGCAAGTCAGGCCCCCGCTCTGGGCCTCTGAGTTTTTAGGTGGAAACTGGTGAGGTTGCCCTGGGAGAAGGAGATGAGCCTCCCTGGCTCAGACAGCTAGGAGCGGGGTCCTAGGCCTTGAAACAGGAAATGGTGCTTTCTTTGGAGGGAGAGGCACTCACTCCAAAGGATTCTGGTGACAGGAATGTGGAAAGTGGGATCACAGCAGAGTCCCTTGAGTGTCCCGACCTGGGATGAGGTCCAGGCAGTCCTGCCCTTTCATGGCCTCTTTGTAGTCCGAGAAGGATGAGGGTTCTCAGTGCACATTTAGACGAGCCACACAGCTGAATCTGGGCCTGGTGAGAGCTCTGTGAAGTTGTTTATGTCACCCATCTTTCTGCCTGGGCCCAAGCCCCCAAAATCTGTTAGTCCCAGGTCCCAGCTAGACCT